AAATTTCAATGGAGCCCACTGTTAGAATGGCCAACTCTACAGCAGAATAAAGGTGTTTACAGCCTGCCACAAAAACAGATGTTGGTTAATACAGCTAATATTACCCTTCATGACAACTGTGAGGGGGTGAATTTTTTTATAACTCATCCGTTTCCTTTATATTTAGTTTGCATAATTAAGGGCGTGGCCACTTGAGTGACAGCTAGGTCTCGTTGGTCGCCGTCACCTCAGCTGAATCCTGCAGATTAGCCACTGAACTCGGCATATTTATCGTATTTCTGTGTTGTTTTATGTGGCTTTACACAGTCAGCTGCCTTTTGGACTTGTTTCCTACATTTATCAGATGATATGGCATGCTGAGGGCACTTAATTGTGCTCACAAACCATTAACGTGGCCTCCGTTTCCCATGTGAGTAAAGTTATGTACTTATATACCATCTCTATACATGTATTTGTTTTATTTAAGATCATTTATGGTTTATATTTATATTTAGAGCTGTAATGCACTCCAGAATCTGTCAGATTGATTAGCTGTGGGCTCTAGATCAGTCATCTGAAGTGTTGTCATACAGTGTTATGCTGGACTTCATCAATAGTCTTACAGTAACTAACACAGACTATATCTGAAGTGTTTGGAAGTAATTTCGTTTTCCTCCTGTTGAAAAACGTCATAAGAACAATGTTTAGTGGCTCAATGTATTACAGCAGTGTTTTTAAAAGTCTAAACACTTTATTGATATAGTGTACAACCAAGCACAAGTGGTCAGAACACAAGCGAGTCGCAGGGGATGAAGTATTAAGCGTTCTCCCAAAGGAAAGTGTGTCTGAGGCAGGTCAAAGCTAAATGCCAGCAGGTGTCTGTAGCTCCGCCCACTCTCCGCCTCTTTGCCCTTGTTTGGTATCCCGCCGTGGGTGTGAACAAAATGGCAACGGTTGGCCACGCCTACTTGTGGCTTCTTTTGCGCTCTTTAGAAACCTATGGGTGACGTCACGGACACTACGTCCATATATTTTACAGTCTATGATAAATACAAAAATCCAACTAATTTGTGATTTTCACAACATTTACAAATTGTGTTTTGCATTTATGATTTACGATTTGGATTTTGTAAATTTGAGTGGTGCTGTGCATGTATGAGTTTTATTTAGTGGATGCATTATATTTGAGACTGACCTGTCTCCATCATTAAAGCCTTTGTAGACTCCATTGAAGTGACATTCCTCAAAAAAAAAACCTGAATAACAACATTCCTCCGGGCTCCTAAATCACATTCCTGCAGGAAAAGCGCGCCACACGCTCCGTCTCGATGCGCAGGAGGGGGTTCGGGAATTACAAGCCACAACACACACATATTTTCCAGAGCGGATCGAGACAAGTGCACATACTTTCCGCTTATTTACCTGCGCACATCAAAGATTCCCCGACGCTCACACAAACTCTCCATCCCATTGACAAACCTCCGGATTAAACCGCAGGAAGCTGACGTGCCCATCTGAGGTTTTGTTTTGTGTGTCTGGGCTTTTATGAGGCTAAACAATGCGCTGTGTTTTAAAGACCCCAAACTGTGAGTGTGTAATGTTTCGAGACTTAATTGAATAGCTTGAACTTGAGTTACGGTAAAAGAGCCGGATGGGCTGCAGTAATGCTGTGATGCAAGAAGAGTTAAAGGAATTGTTCAGCAAATGATGAAGGTTACCCTATAATTTACTCACTCCCAAGACATCCTTTGGGTATATGATTATTTTTCTTTTTGAACATTTATCCTGACTCTTTCATGCTTTATAATGGTGGTGGATTGGGACTTTTATTTTGAAGCTCCAAAAAGTGCTTAAATCTATTGCATAACTGTTTATGTGGGTTGAATTTAAACAAACAAATTGAATTGAGTAATTTTCAACTTAATTTGTTTATTTATTGTCAGCCCATATTAAATGTTTGCAACTATTTACCTTTAAAAAAATCCTATTAACCATTTTTTTCAGTGAAGGATTCAAGGGTATATCATACCCTTATCATAATTCATTTATGCTGTATCCACATGCAACGTGCAGTGACATACACTCAGTGGCCACTTTATTAGGTACACCTTACTAACTGGGTTGGACCCCCTTTTGCCTTCAGAAATCGGCTGCACATCCATGATGCCAATCTCCCGTTCCACCACATCCCAAAGCTGCTCTGTTGGATTGAGCTCTGGTGACTGTGGAGGCCATTTGAGTACAGTGAACTCATCGTCATGTTCAAGAAACCAGTCTGAGATGATTGAGCTTTATGACATGCTGCGTTATCCAGCTGGAAGTAGCCATCAGAAGATGGAGACACTGTGCTCATAAAGGGATGGACATGGTCAGCAGCAATACTCAGGTAGGCTGTGGCGTTGATGCTCAATTGGTACTAATGGACCCAAAGTGTGCCAAGAAAATCCCCCCCACAACATTACACCACCAGCACCAGCCTGAACCGCTGATACAAAGCAGGATGATCCATGCTTTCATGTTGTCTGAGCCGAGCATCTGAATGTGTCAGCAGAAATGGAGACTCATCAGAGCAGCAACGTTTCTCCAATCTTCTATTGTGCAGTTTTGGTGAGTCTGTGTGAATTGTAGCCTCAGTTTCCTGTTCTTAGCTGACAGGAGCGGCACCCGGTGTGCTCTTCTGCTGCTGTAGCCCATCCGCCTCAAGGTTGGACGTGTTGTGTGTTCAGAGATGCTCTTCTGCAGAGCTCGGTTGTAACGAGTGCTTATTTGAGTTACTGTTGCCTTTCTATCAGCTGGAACCAGTCTGGCCATTCTCCTCTGACCTCTGGCATCAACAAGGCATTTGCGCCAACAGAACTGCCGCTCACCGGATACTTCCTCTTCTTCGGAGCATTCTCTGTAAACCCTAGAGATGGTTGTGCGTGAAAATCCCAGTAGATCAGCAGTTTCTGAAATACTCAGACCCAGGCAGCAACAACCATGCCACATTCAAAGTCTCCTAAATCCCCTTTCTTCCCCATTCTGATGCTTGCTTTAAGCTGCAGCAGATCGTCTTGACCATGTCTACATGCCTAAATGCAGTGAGCTGCTGCCGTGTGATTGGCTGATTATAAATTTGCATTAACGAGCAGTTGGACAGGTGTACCTAATAAAGTGGCCGGTGAGTGTAAATCTTATGTCTTTATTGTTTTTCATCATAATTCCTTTTTTTTTTTGCATTTCTGTGCAGAATTGTCAGAAATCTGTCAGCTGAATTGCGTTGCGTCAAGGGGCCGCAGTTTGATTTATTTCAGTGAGATGTGTTTCATCTTCCTGCTGGGAGATTTTTCATGGTCAAATCTGAGACTCAGTGTTTGCCAGCAGACAGAGGCACCCTGATGTGCGCGATCACATTTCACAATGATATTTCATCAGAAAATAAATGGATAAAAGTATTCAGTGAGAAAATCATCTCTGATGTTCTGCTTTCCTCTATTATATCTTGGCTCACTCTCAAAGACAGCAGTTGAGAGATGGCAAATCTTAAAGATTCTTATGAGTAAAATCAAACTCTGATTTGCCAAAATATGAAGTTCACAGATCTGATTATGTATTCACTTGTGATTCTGGACCACCGTCTGAAGTTGCATGGGTGTATTTGTAGGAAATTAGAAATAGTCGAAATTCATTACAAAAATCATATTCATTCATTTTCTTTGGCTCAGTCACTTATTTATCAGGGGTCGCCACAGCGGAATGAACCGCCAACTATTATAGCTTATGCTTTTCCAGCTGCAACCCAATACTGGAAAACACCCATACACTCGCATTCACACACACACACACACACACTTAGGGCCCGTTTACACTAATGCATTTTCATTTTAAAACGCATAAGTTTTGCTACGGTTACGCCATCCATCCACACTACGCCGGAGTTCTCGAGCACCGAAAACGGAGTGTTTTGGAAATGCTGGAGAGGCTGTTTTCATCCTAAAACGCTGCTGCTCCGTCTCAGTGTGGATGAGGAAAACGGCGACATCTGAAAACGGAGGCGGGGCTGCTGAGATTCGCTAGCTGATTGGGGCTTTTGTGTCATTGCGTATCCTTCTCTTATTCGTCAAGCCCCTATCACATGACTATAACACATAGCTTTAACGCTGCCGGAAGACAGCAGACCAGCCTTCACTGAAAACAACAACATAGACACAGAAATGGGAGCGTTGTTTGCACTATTGTCTGTTTTAGGCGCCATTGTGCAGTTATTCATTTGTTACGTTTAGTAACTCGACCTCGTCTGTCCACAAAAACACCTCTCTTGCTTTCTTTGCCATCGCGTTCATTGTTCATCTGGCGTTTGTTGACTAACAATAACCAAATGCCGAGCGAGACGCATGCTTCCTGTTTATACTAGAACGCGCATGCCCAGAGTGCGCGAATGGTCACGTGATATACGTTTTTGGTGGCGTAGTGTGGACGGAGATATGTTCAGAGATGCTAGTTTAAACGCAAGTGTGGATGCGGATCATTTTTGATCTACAATGCCGTTTTAAAACTAAAGCGCACTAGTGTAAACGGGGCCTTATACAGTACAGTCAATTTAGTTTATTAATTCCCCTATAGCGCATGTGTTTGGACTGTAGGGAAACCAGAGGAAACCCACACCAACACAGGGAGAACATGCAAACTCCACACAGAAACGCCAACTGACCCAGCTGAGGCTCTAACCAGTGACCTTCACCTCTTGCTGTGAGGTGACTGAGCCACCGTGTCGCCCCACAGCGTCTAAACCTGCAATAATAACTGTGTTTGTTGTCCTGGGTCACATTTTAAAGCACTGTAACTCCACTGCATGTCAAGTACTGTCTTTTTACTCTTCAGATCATTTTATAAGAAACATCTTTGACATGGAAACATGACCGAGAGCTCCATAACAGCATAACTTATCGGCTGTAAAATGTTCCTTTGGGAATGTTTTCCCAGGGCTGTGAAACTCAGATATGAAGCAGAAACCTTTCCAGATCAGCTGATAAAGATCTTACCATTTCTGCCCATCGGCCTCGTGTTGCTGAACCGTATATCCAAACTGAGCCTCTCTCGAGCCCTTGATGACTTTTGCACGTCTCGTGTCAATATTAAAGCATGTCCGCGGCCCTGAAATCAACATAAACAGCATTTTAATTTCAAATAAAGGTAAGCACCATATGTAGACAGCGTATTATAAGTCATTCCATCTAATAAATCCTTAATTTAAAGGTCTACAATGTTAGCCCTTTTACAAATTAAATTCTTTGTTTCTGCAGAATGCTCAAAATACCCGTCAGATCATTTATTATAGCCTTGCAAAGCTATTTGAGTTGGCTCAACTCATATCTAGTCATTTAAATCAATTAAGTTTTTACAGTGAGGGAAGGCTAGCTGTTTTTGCGCCTGTGCCTTTAAATGCAAATGAGCTGGTCAAGCCCCACCTACTTCAGAACATTTCTCTTAAGATAAACAGGGTTGGATGTCAGGATAAACACAGAAATTTGGAGAAAACCACCAGGCTAACAGCATCCCTACAGTGAAGCATGGTGGTGTTGGCATCATGCTGTGGGGATGTGTTTCAGCAGCAGGAGCTGGAAGACTAGTCAGGATAGAGGGAAAGATGAATGCAGCGATGTACAGAGACATCCTGAATGAAGACCTGCACAAGAGTGCTCTCCACCTCAGACTGGGGCGACGCTTCATCTTCCACCAGAACAATGACCCAAAGCACACCGACAAAATATCAATGGAGCGGCATCACAACAACTCGGTGAATGTGCTTGAGTGGCCCAGCCAGAGCCCAGACCTAAATCCTATTGAACATCTCTGGAGAGATCTGAAAATGGCTGTACACTGTCGCTTCCCATCCTTCCTGATAGAGATTGAGAGGTGCTGCAAAGAGGAATGGGCAGAAATTCCCAAAGACAGCTGTGGCAAGCTTGTGGCATCATATTCAAGAAGACTTGAGGCTGTAATCGCTGCCAAAGGTGCATCAACAAAGTATTGAGCAAAGGCTGAGAATATTGACGTACATCTGATTTTACAGCTTTGATAAATGTGCAAAAATCTCAGAATCTCTTAGTTCACATTGTCATAATGGGGGATTGTGTGTAGAATGTTGAGGAAATCAATCAATTTAATCCATTTTGTAATAAGGCTGTAGCATAAACAAATGTGGAAAAAGTGAAGCGCTACGAAGACTTTCCGGATGCTCTGTATATACTGTAGCATGTAGGTGATGTCCATGTGTACATGTTTGATGAAGTGCATTTGAGTATTAAGTGTATGTATACAAAATACAAATGCCATAGTAATGGTTATTGCGGCTGCACGGTGGCGCAGTGGGTAGCACGTTCACCTCACAGCAAGAAGGTCGCTGGTTCAAGCCCCGGCTGGGTCAGTTGGTGTTTCTGTGTGGAGTTTGCATGTTCTCCCTGCATTAGCGTGGGTTTCCTCCGGGTGCTCCCGTTTCCCTCACAGTCCAAACACATGCGGTACAGGTGAATTGGGTTTGCTAAATTGTCTGTAGTGTATGAGTGTGTGTGGATGTTCCCCAGTGAAGGGTTTTCACTGCATAAAGCATATGCTGGATAAGTTGGCGGTTCATTCCACTGTGGTGACCCCAGATTATTAAAGGGACTAAGCTGAAAAGAAAATGAATGAATGAATGAATGGTTATTGCTTGCAGAATCTGAAATATACTTATATATATACATATATATATATATATATATATACTGGACAAAATGCTTTTCTTGCTTAGATTTTTTGTCTTGTTTCTAGTCTAAATATCTAAAATTTCTTATATCAAGAAGCATTTTCTAGGCAAGCAAAACATATTGTCTTGTTTTGAGAAATAATATGCCAATATTAAGTGAGTTTTTCCTTAAAACAAGCAAAATAATGTGCCAATGGGGTCAGCAAAATAATCTTACAAAAGAAAAAACTAGATTAATTTGCTTACCCCATTATATATATATAATAAATACTAATAATTCTGGCTTCAACTGTATGTTTTTTTTGTTGTCGTTTGTTTGTTTGTTAATGTTTTTAAAGATTAGGATAGTTTTGAGATGAGAATATAAGTAACTTTACCCAACACTCGGTATTAAGCAGTAAGGAACAAAACTGAGGTAGTTCATGACCTCTTTAAAGGGAGTTACGAGTCCTGTGATGATCTAATCCTTCCTGCTTCAGGTTCTGGATGAACATGTGAGTGTATCTGGGTTTAATTTACATGTTTATCAGGAATAATAATGGCCTCCTGAATGGGAAGCAGAGCGTTCGGTATCTGAGAAATGACGTCACGGCCTTTCAAGTTTAATTTCCTGGGGAAGCGTTTCCCCTGATGGAGAGGAGAAAGAAGAAAGGGTCAATCATATTTCCTTCTTAATTTATCAGCAGGAGGAAAAGCCTAAAATAAAAAAAGCTTAATAAAACACAGCGGCTTGTCAAGAAGCCAACGCACCAGAAATGAAAATATATACTACGTTCACTGTCTTATTGATTGAGGAATGTGCTTTTGGAGAGATGCATCCTTTCTCTTGATGCGATGGGTTCATTTGTGGTGTGTCTGATCCCGCAGATCATAATACTCACCTTTTTTTTCAAAATAAAGTATGAGAAGTATGAAAGGCACAGTTGCAGGGTCGAGCACTTCCAGGATTTTTAAGAGAAAATGTTTTTTGTTGAAGCTCAACTAAAGACTTCCAGACAATTTTAGAAAGAATTCTGTCATGTGGAGAGGGGTCTGGCTGCAGACCTGGTGCAGTGCAATCTGAGCTGCATCCAATGCTTTTTAATGCGCTCACCTAACCCCACCCCTAACCCTACCCGTCACAGTGACGTCACTCACTCCATTGAGAGCATTGTGTCTGACATTGCATCGCTGAGTGATGCAGTCTCAGCTTGCATCATGAAGGCTGCATCCAGATACTATTGATCATGTGAGCTTCATTTCAGAGAAGAGGAACTGATTTAGGCTGAACAAATGGTTGTTATTGTTTATGCTGTTCTTCTGTTTGCTCTAAAAGGTTTCTCTGCCAATGGGGTCAGCAAAATAATCTTACGTCAAAAGAAAATACTAGATTATTTTGCTGACCCCATTGGCAGATTATTTTGCTTGTTTTAAGGAAAAACTCACTTAATATTGGCATTTTATTTCTCAAAACAAGACAATATGTTTTGCTTGTCTAGAAAATGCTTCTTGATATAAGAAATTTTAGATATTTAGACTAGAAACAAGACAAAAAATCTAAGCAAGAAAAGCATTTTTTGCAGTGTATTTGTGTCACGAGTACTTCATTTTGAGATGTCATGATGTGTTTGGGCGACGCAGTGGCGCAGTAGGTAGTGCTGTCGCCACACAGCAAGAAGGTCGCTGGGTTGCTGGTTCGAGCCCTGGCTCAGTTGGTGTTTCTGTGTGGAGTTTGCATGTTCTCCCTGTGTTCGCGTGGGTTTCCTCCGGGTGCTCCGGTTTCCCCAACAGTCCAAACACATGCGGTACAGGTGAATTGGGTAGGCTTAATTGTCCATAGTGTATGAGTGTGTGTGTGAGGTTCATTGGCGGTTCATTCCGCTGTGGTGACCCTGGATTAATAAAGGGACTAAGCCGACAAGAAAATGAATGAATGAATGATGTTTGTGCGTGTTTGTTTGTGTATTTGCAGCCTGATCTCTCGAGGAAACTTAAGTATTTCACCTTTTGTCAGTTTAGTGGCTAATTCAGTGAGTTCAGTCATACGAAATTGTACGATTTTAAAAAGGAGGCGTGGCACCCAACCCCACCCCTTAACCCAACCGTCATTCATCTTCTTGTCGGCTTAGTCCCTTTATTAATCCGGGGTCGCCACAGCGGAATGAACCACCAACTTATCCAGCAAGTTTTTACGCAGCGGATGCCCTTCCAGCCGCAACCCATCTCTGGGAAACAGACACACACACACACACACTCACACACACACTCATACACTACGGACAATTAAGCCTACCCAATTCACCTGTACCACATGTCTTTGGACTGTGGGGGAAACCGGAGCACCCGGAGGAAACCCACGCGTAGGTAGGGAGAACATGCAAACTCCACACAGAAACACCAACTGAGCCGGGGTTCGAACCAGCGACCCAGCGACCTTTTTGCTGTGAGGCAACAGCACTACCCACTGCGCCACTGCCTCACCCCAACTGTCATTGGGGAATGAGTAAATCGTACTGAATTGTACGAATTAGATCGTACGAATTCATACGAATTAGCCGCTAAATCAAAAAATTACGAATTGCCGTGAGATTGCGCTGATCGTGTTTATTTGTTTGTTTATTTGTTTGTCTGTAAGTGTTTATGTGTTTGTGTTTGTTTGTGTGTCTCTGGGTGTTTATTCCTTTGTGTGTGTTCCTTCGTTTGTGTGTGTTCGTTCGTTTGTGTGTGTGCAAGCTATTTCAAATTGCGTTCACTGTTATTTTAGTGCTACTTATATTTTAATTAGCCTTTTTGTTGGAATGAGAGTTTATTACATTTACATTTTCTGTTAAATTTTTACTAGTATACATGTATTAGCACATACGTGTACAGTCTTCCTAATTTATGACATCCTTTTGCTATTTTAATTATTTTGTTTGTTTGTTTTTGTTAATATTTACTATAGTAATGTAGTTACAGTATGTCAGTTTACTCTAGGGGCAGCGCAGTGGTGCAGTAGGTAGTGCTGTGGCCTAACAGCAAGAAGGTCGCTGCTTCGAGCCTTGGCTGGCTCAGTTGGCATTTCTGTGAGGAGTTTGCATGTTCTCCTCAAGTTGGCGTGGGTTTCCTCCGGGTGCTCCGGTTTCCCCCACAGTCCAAACACATGCTGTACAGGTGCATTGGGTAAGCTAAATTGTTTGTAGTGTATGTGGGTAAATGAGTGTGTATGGATGTTTACCAGAGATGGTTTGCAGCTGGAAGGGCATCCGCTGTGTAAAACATATGCTGGATAAGTTGGCGGTTCATTCCGCTGTGGCGACCCCAGATTAATAAAGGGACTAAGCCGAAAAGAAAACAAATCAATGAAGTTTATTCTAAAAATGCTGGGTTGTCATAAGTAAACCAACTTTAGATCAAATAAATACCCAATTACATCTATGAGATTTAAGAA